TGTCCATGGGATCGCAATGGGTTGGACACGACTTTGCAACTAATAACAACAACAAATATTGGGGAGAGTGGGGGTAGAGGTATTAATTAAGTATGAGAGCAATAAATGAGCATAAAAAGCATGACAAATCAAATTTATCATTATACAAAACACTCCATAATTATATTTAAGGTGTTCATTAAAACCAATAGTTTTAATGGACACCTAGATTATCATTATGGAATGTTGTTGTATTGTGCTAGATTTGATTTGTCATTCTTTTTTATGGTCATTTATTACTCTCACACTTCTTTTAAACTCTTTTTAGATTTTTAAAAAAGTATTTTTAGCTTTTTAAGTAATTTTATTTTTGAATTTTGTATTTTATGCTTTTAAATTCCTTATATGCCATTCTCTTTATGCTGGTCTTTGACCATAATAAAGCTTGATTTGATCTGACTAAGCTTCATTGACATCAGAGCAACTCCATGCAAAATATGCCTACCTTGGTATTACACCTTCCAAAGAATATATTTTATGTTATTAGAATTGTGCTAATTGCAAATTTGCTGCTGATTTCTGCTCATCTTGAAAAAGCTAAAACCTGGTAAGTAACTTGATGAGAAATCAGCAAAGAATCTCAGATTAGTCTCAGAGGCTAAACTGGAAAGTAAAATGAAACTAACAAACATCCTGGAAGAAGTCAATGGCAAATATCTTGCTGTGGATGTTTATGTATCATTATCCAGAGAGACATTATCTTTAATTATAAGCTTAGCCTGCTGTTGTTAATTTGTATGGAGCTATGGAGTCCTGGATGCTCTTTAAGCTTGGTCGGTTGTTTGCAGATGCTTCATGTCTTGATTAGAAATGTCTGCAAGGTAACAAACAAGCTCAGAGAGCACCAAGGACTTCACATTTCAACCTTGTGCTACGTGTATTCACTTCTATTATATGGTCCTATATACAAACTGATAATACATTGGAATGTTCTTCTTTAAATAGCACAAAAAGGATTATCTATCTAAATTGGAACCATTAGTACTATGCTAATAGCATTATTCTATTTTACTGTTCTCAAACAATCTGTAAATTACCTTTGTTGCCAATATGCTTTATTCAATTAAAAAGTCTGGTTTAATTGTATCTGACACTGGTGCAGAATAGATGGGAAGGGAGGGGTTTCTGCTCATGAAAGTTCCTTTTGTTTCCAAAGTGGTTTGTCACAGAGAAATATGCTAATAGGAAAGCAATAAAAATATAAGATGAGCATAAAATAAACAGAAATAAGCATAAGATAAGCATAGAGGATGAGTGCTACCTTTAATGGGAGACCAGGGGTTGAAACCTGGCTAGTACCTACTTTACCAGTTGTTGTTCTTGGGCAAAGACCCCTAATACTTCATCTGCTTATCTCATATAACAGTGTCACAAACTAAAAGAATCATGCTGGCTCAGATATTGCCTGGATTAATAAGGTCTGCCAGACAGTCTCACAATAGATGGACAAGCAAGAACCAGGAATTGATGAAATGCTGCTATTAACAGTAGCAGGGGATATATGAGGGAAATATGGATGAGGGAAATGTGGATATGAGGAAAGTGGATCAACAGAAGACCTGCAACCATATTAGCTGAGAAACAGCTAGTTATTCAACACTTCAACATATTGAGCACTCATCTGCTCCCATAACTTGAGACAGACCAATTTCCCATTACATCCCAGACTCAAGAAGACCCAGAAAAGAAACTCATTACATCCCAGATTCAAAAAGATACAGAATAAAGCAACACTTGAAGCTGGAACATCACTGCTACCTTCAGAGCATGGCAAGTGATATGAGGCATACATTCATGGATAAACTAGCTACAGTCAATCCTCAAGACTGGTTATCAAGACTCAGTGGAGAAGTACCATTATATAGGATGCTAGAATATGCCAATAGCGTCATCATAAATATCACTATTACCACCATAACTTAAAGGATGAACTTGTTTACACTATAGCATATGTAATCTTGGAGATGCTTGGCTACACAATATAGAAGATCAGTTGTACATACCACCACCACCATCATTGTCACCTGGAAAATGAAATTAAAGGCTAAAATCAAGACAGCTTGGAGAGAAATTACTCAGCTGGGGGAACTATAGATGGGTATATAGATTAAGGGTAAGACTCAGCTACTGAAGAAATATAAGAATCTGACTCCATCTGAAGTCCCATAAGCCACTAAACAACGACTCATAGCAATAGCTACCAGGCTAAGGAGATACACTAGGTAGGCAGAGGTCAAGAAGATAAATGCCTAATTCTCCAAAAACTATCCAAGATGTACTCCCATCAGCAGTGCAACAACATAGTAACAGCAGAGCCACCAACACAAAAAACTGAATAGTACTGGAAGAACACATGGGAAAAAGAGAAAACACATAAGACCAGGCAAAGTGACTGTAGGACCTGAGAACAAACCTCCACAATCTCCCAGTCACCATCAGAGGAGCAAATAGCCAGCATGGGTGGGTGATCAACATGAAAAGCTGAATAGCACCTGGCCTGGACATAGAAAATAGAATAAAAGTATTGGAAAGGACCTTGGAGATCTTTTAGTCCAATCCCCTATCCATGGCAGGAGATTCTATATCATTCTGAACTTTGGGCTTGATGGAATGGATACACAATCATAGAAAGAATAGCAGAATAGAATAGAATAATGGAATTGTAAGAGATCCTGGAGGTCCTCCATTCTAACCCTCCACCCAAGCAGGTTCCTATACCATTTCAGACAAATGGCTATCCAATCTCTTCTTAAAAAGCTCCAGTGATGGAGCACCTATAACTTCTGAAGGCAGGCTATTTCTTTGGTTAATTGTTTCACTGTCAGGAAATTTCTCCTTAGTTGGTTCTCTCCCTGATTAGTTCCCACCCATGCTTCTTGTCCTGCCTTCAGGTGATTTAGAGCAGGGGTGTCAAACTGCCGGCCCGCGGGCAGTCATGTGGAAGCTGCACCCACCCCACTGCCGGCAATGGCAAAATTGGCCCGATACATTGCATGATGTCATGTGACGTCACGAGTTTGACATGCCTGATTTAGAGAATATGTTGACCTCCTTTTCTTGTAGCAGCTGCTTAGATGTTGGATCACTGCTATTATGTCACCCCTAGTCCTTCTTTTCACTAGACTAGACACACCAAGTCATCAAATGTAGCATATACCAAGGTGATCCACTGTCCCTCCTGCTGTTTTGCATAGGTTTAAATCCCCCCAACAAGATAATCACAAAAACTAAATATACATATCAGTTCAAAAGTTGAAATACTATCATCCATGCTTTCTTTATATATGCTATATGCTAAGAGTGAATGAGACATTGACACACTGATCCATTTGTTGCTAATCTACACTAAGGACATTGGAATATCATTCAGTTGGAGATATGTGGCTGGATGATAGTCAATAGAAAGTAGTTAATGCTGATGGGATGGAATTAATAGAAGGCTACATAGCAAATACCAAGATTGCCTGCTGAGAGAATACCTGAGGCAGAGCAGACATGGGAGGAAGATCAAGCAGAGGAAGTACTATGTCAAGACAAGTTTCTGCATGGGATGTATTGTACCATCAGCAGATAGCTGAATTGGCTGACACTGGGAAATCTTACCAATGGCTGAAAGAGCTGGACTAAAGACAACACTGAGGTACTAATAATAGTAGCTCAAGAATGGACACTAAGCATCAGATCCATAAAAGCTGGGCTCTACCATACTAAAAAGACTTAAGGTGCAAATTATGCAGAGAAGCCTCAAAGCCAGCCCAACACATAATGGCAGAGTGTAAGATGCAGGCAGAAATAGCATACATTAAGCAGCACAACCAAGTAGCTGATGTTATGTACAGAGACATCTGAATAGGCTACACCCTCCCAAGCCCAGATAAGAGATTCTACAAAAGATCGTGGAGAATAACATAGCTAAGATAGCTAAGATGGACAGGCAGGTATTGGTCAATCAACCTAACATTGTGGTAGTACACAAAAGACAGTTGTGTTTATATATGTAGCAGAGCCAAGGAACAGCCACATCAGGAAGAAGGAACTTATGAAAATTGGAAAAGTATCAGGGTCTGAAGGAGGATCTGGAGAGGATATGGAAAGTAAAGGCTAAAATTGTCCCAGTAATGATAGGAGCACTTGGGGCTGTGACTCCTAAACTGGGAACACAGGAACAACATCAGAACTCTCTGACCAGAAGAGTACAGAAGCACGAAGCTGAAAACACCAGCCTGAAGATGACGAATGGGACTTCGTCGAAACGTTGCCAAGACACTTCCAATTTTACGCGGGAGAAAACCCGAATAACCAAAGACCTACATATATATAAATCATATATACATATATATAAATCACATATATACATATATATAAATCACTGCCTAGTATGTAAACTGCCCATGTTCGAATCCCATAAAGGGTATGGCTAACTGATGAAAGCAGAACGAGCTAGAAATGGCCATCTTAGTCTCCCAATTTAATTCTTTAACTCTTTGTCAGAAAAAGAAATTTGGATTTAAAATGTTTCGCAGTTGCGACTTGAGCCTGTTTAACGCCCCTCCGGCTACAATTTTTCTTTCTAGTTCAATTAGTTCTATTATTTTTCTATTTAGAAGAGATCCATTTGCTCCTCTTACAATAGCTATTATCTTGCCAAATGGAAAAGAAAGAAAAGAGAAAGCGCACGTTTGTAATATGTTTAATTTCACAATGCTAACGTGTGTTGCTTTTACGTCCAACAGATGGTGCTGTTTTTCAAAAAAGCATGTTTTTACCTGTCACAGGTGTGACATCTATATAATAGTAGGTATATAAAAACACACGCATATTCGAATGCAACGTTGGGTCAGAATTTCAAAGCAATCGGTAAAGAACTTTAGGAGATTTAAGATTTTGAACAAACGAACATTTACATTTTTATTTATATAGAAGAAGATATATATAAAATAAACAGCCAAACAAGAAGTTACCTCTGGTCTTTTCACTTCTCCGGCTACAATTTTTCTTTCTAGTTCAATTAGTTCTATTACTTTTCTATTTAGAAGAGGTCCATTTGCTCCTCTTACAATATCTATTATCTTGCCATCCTAAAAAACAAATATACTCATCATGTATTCTGTTTCAGTCTTAAGGTTGAATCACCTAATTTAAGCCTGTATGTATTCTTATCTGACTGTATCACTATTTATATTGCAATCTTGCATTCAGCTACTCTCACATATAACTTACATTCTTTCATTCATAATTCTATAGAATCAGGGATATGACCTAGAGGGAAACGTACAAAAACTGTTATATAAGCAAAGACAGCTGAAACATTCCTTAAGTCCTAGGAAGAAAGATAGTATTAGGGAATTGATTCAAAGCTCTTCCTTAATTAATTGGAATATAACAGGTATGGAAAGTAAAACACAGTCAGACTTGAAAGATTCTATTATTACAGCCTATCTCAATAAAGTATAATTAAATTATTTCAATGTGACGAGATCTGATTTTATGACCATTTTTGCCACAGCTGTTTCATAAATCACATGGCTGTTAAGCAAATCTAGGTTTCTTGACTGATTTTTTGTTTTTTGTCACGTAACTGCAAAACATTGTAAAAGTCATAAATGTGAGCCTGTTGTTCATCAGATGCAGAAGTGGTATGATGATCATAATTTTGAGGACAAATCATGTCAATTTTCCCAAGGCTGTTATGATTTCAAACTGTTGTTAAACAAATGGTGGTAATACGAGGACTACCAATAGCCTGTTTCCTGACTTGATCTAACCTGAATAGCTGACATAACTATATCAAGGATGTAATACTCCAGAAAACCATTGGATGTCATTGAAGAGATATAGAAACTCTGGCCAATTGTTGTTATCTAGTACTTGTCCAGAATTATACAGTCTTGCACATAAGATATAGTCAGTTCAGCTCTCAGTTAGCTTAATTCTGCAAATAAACTTCAGAAAAACCCATTAAAGTCAATAAAAGACTTCTTCAGTAATTAACTGTAGAAGACATGTATACATGAGAACAGAATTTCAGAGAGATCCAGCTGCTGCATGAAGAGTTAATTTTTTCCTCCCTACTTGTAAATATCTCTTTCAAATAAGTATCCTATCCTTTGGAAAAGGAGAAAGTGGGGAATTATACATGGAGGGCAGGAAATCATATTCATAGGGAAGGGAAAATTAACTCTCCTGAAAATCATCTCTCCCCTCCCCCCCCCCCCCCCCCGCCATACTCATTTCTGCTGTACTTGAAATTAAGTTGTGAAGCCAATGTTAAGTCTTCCTTTGCATTTCTTCTCCAAGCCTGATTACCTGGTAGTGGAGCTAAAGGACACACTGTGAGCAACTGGGGAAGTTTGGCATGCTGTTACTATCCCCTAGGCTGGATAACCCCAGGCTGGTGTAATCAGCCTGGTGCTCTGCAGATGGTTAGGATTTGCAACAGTTTCACCCAGCATGGCCAGTGGCAAGGGACTGTGGACCACCAATACTTCACCCAATCTCTATCTGAGTGCTGCCTTCTTAAATTAAAAAAAAATCGTATTCTGCAGTGGAATTTTCTGCAGCTCTGGGCTGGTAGTTTTGTTTTCATGAAAGTTTTTGCCTTGGATTTTTATATATATATATAAAAAGGGGGCTTCTCCCGCCCTGTATGAACTACAGCCCTGAGGAAGTTGGCAGTTTGCCAACGAAAGCTAGGTTTTTAATTCTTGTAAGATTTCTAAAGAACAATTTTGTAGGTTTTAGCCATGCATTGTCTTGTTGGTTTTAACCATTAAATATATATATATTTCAGTTGAGTAACAAAAGTGGAGAAATCACTTAAATTGTGCAACTCTAGATCCATGCGTATAAATGTTCACTTATCTGTTTGGTTTATTTATTTAGAGAATTTATATGGCTGCCTACTTACTCCCCACCATCCAGTTAGAGCTGAAGAAGCTTCTTGGACGAGAAGTGAAATGTCTTCAAAGAAAAATAAGAAAGTCCAGTTGCCTTGTGAAAAAGCATCTTTGAGATAACTATGACCCGGATGATGAGAATCTCCATAGACAAGCCACTTGATGGGCTCCATCCCATTCTGGATTTCCCAGGCCCACTGGCAAAACTAGGTGTTCAGGGCCTTGAGAAAGAGTATCAAAGTGGGAGCTAGTCTAATCTCTGTGGTGATGATGTTTCAAAGGGAAGGAGCCACCATGGAAAAGATGTACCTCTTTTGGAGAGGAGACCCACAACATTCCCCGACTCCCTGCTTTGGTGGATCAGTGGATGTAACTGAGAAGAGTTGGCCCTTCCCAAGCCATGAAGGGCTTTAAAGATGACAACCAGCACTTTGAATTATACCTGGAATCATTCTTTGTTGATTATTACAGGATTTTGTTCTCTGAAACCCTTTTCTTATTAGGATTATTGTGCCAAAGGCAGCGGAATAAGGGCTAGAATTGTGAGACACCGGGGTATGACAATAGCAAGAAATTTGCATTCACAAATATTCCCATATACAATTCTATAAATATGTGATACAGAAGATTCCAGCCATTTTGAATTATTGTCCTCCTTTTGTATATTTCATCATGACTCAAGAAAACATCATATGTTATTACATGCACTTAACCCTACGCAAAGCTCTTTTCCCATCCCCATTATGGTGCACTTACCAGACAGAAGACAAAAGCAGGTTCACATTTATCTTTAAATGGGAGCAGGGTCACCACACCATCAGCCTCTGCCTTAAATGAATAATACACAAATACATCTGCTATATTTTTTCTCCTAAGTCATGTTGTACAGTATCAATTACCACATGAGTCTCTATTATGGTTTATTATAGCTTTACTAGAACTTGGGCTGCAATATCTAGACCAGTAGATGGAAGCAAAGAGGTATAAACTCATTCTTTGAACTATGTATTGGTCACCCTGATTTTTTGCAGTCAATATTTGTTAGTCCTATTTATTGAGAGTTTTGGTTTAGTCTACTGCTTCTTTTTCTTGTTTCTATTGCAGAATCCCAATGAAAATTAATCTCATCATTTTAATTATTGTAGTTGCCACTGAAAAAAACAAAGTGAAAGAAATGGATATGATTGACCTACCCAAGGATCAGCGATCTGCTGTTCTGCTATTTAATTTTGCTATACTACTCATAGTAAAAAAAACCCTTAATTATGGGTAAATCAGACCCAAATTTCATATAATTCTAAATACTTTAAATAATTTTAGATTGGATAATATATGTATGATTGTGACACATCCATTGTAAATCTAGGCTAACCTCTAGTATTTATTTCTTTATTCCCCTTCTTACCTACAACAGCTCATTCTTTCACCTTTCGCAAGTTTCAAAATCTATGTATCAACAAGAAGCCCTGTTTTAGCCAATTTCTAGCCCATTTCTTGTTTGCCCAAAATGTGAAAAATATCTTTGAGTGTAATGATACTCATTAAATGGACTAAATTTATTAAATTGGGATGGTTAGCCAGGTTCTTGTTCACTCCATCATCTCACCTCATCTCTAGGGCATAACAAAGCTATTGTGTGTCTTAAATTCCCTCTTCCCAATTTCAGCTTGTTATGGAATTTTTAATAATAATATTTTCAATAATCTCCCTGTCAAAATGAGACTGTTGGTCAATTGAGGGATTAATATCACAAAGTATTTAGTATGAAAAAGTACTTAACATTGGAGGTATGGGAATTGAAATCCAACTCATAGGGAGGGTGCTAGTTTAGAAAAAGCTGGTTGATTATCCAGATTCTTACCACAGCAAAATGTAGAAGATTATCTTCACCATATTCATTTTTTAGCCTCCTAAACAAGTTTACTACAGCTTTGCAAGGTCCACACCATGCCTGATAAACATCTACCACTGATAAAACATAGAAACACAACATAAATTCCTATTTTAAAAAAATTAACAATACAGATTCCTTTGTTGAAACTCTCACCCATGGATAAAATGTGGATATGATCTCAAATTGAAATAATACGTACATTAAGATTTCCAGAAAAGAAAAATCATACATCAATATGGACAGAAAGGGTGCATTTGCAATTCTTCAAAGCCCTATTCCAAAGATCAGCAAGTGATTTAGGTTTAATAACTATCAGACTTCTAATGAATGCAATTGTTTATTGCACAATTCCTCCTTAACATAAAGCAATATATATTTTAGTGGAGGTTAAACCTGTTTCCTGCTTTATTGTATCCAGAATACCTTTTTTTTAAAGTGGATATCTCAGGAAATGGTGGGCTAAATAATCCAACATACCTAGAGCAGGGTTTTTAAAACTTTTTCAGTCTGCAGAACCTGAATTTTTTTTAAAAAAAAAAAGGAAAAAGAAAGAAAACTATTTCCAGAAATACTGATCAAAAGACAAAATTCTAGTGAGAGAAAATTGGCTGAGGTTAATTGATTTTAATTTTATCTTATTTTTGCCTTTAATTTGATGCCTTCACAACTTTATGATATGTAGACTTCAACTCCCAGAATTTCCTACAATCATATCACTTGATTTTTCTCCAGGATAAGCAATGAGAAAGATTTAACAGATCTGATACATCTTTTTTTTAATAAAGTTTTATTGAGTTTTATAAGGTTAGGGAAGGGATGGGGTCAGTATGGGAGTTGGGGTTCATGGTGGGGATCAGGGTTAGGATTGGGACAAAGATAGGAACAACAATGGGGTTACCCCCCCATTAACATTAACATTTTCAATCTTTAGCAAACAGACTATTGTCCGGGTACATATGTTCAATAACACTAATTAATATAATAGTAAATAGCTATAGTGAATATGAGAAACAATAATCATAAACAATTGTCAATTAATCAATACATATCCTTCATCTTACTAGTATATATTCGCAATAAGATATCACATTCATTTCTCACTAGTTCGTCTTGCTAACCATTGATAAAAAATTATCCCATGTTTTAAATTAAACTGAATCTTCTTTCTCTTTAATCTCTAAAGTTAATCTGTCCAATTCTGCACATTCTAAAATTTTCTTAATTATGATCTCTTCAGATGGTAAATTTTCATTTTTCCAGTATTGGGCAAATGCTATTCTCGCTGCTGTCAATATATGCAATATTAAATACTCATTCTCCTTCTCATACTTGGCTCCTGGTATTCCTAACAAAAACAATTCTGGTTTAAATTCTATCTGTATTTTAGTCATCTTTTCCAACCATGTATGAATCTTAAGCCATTTTTTTTTGCTTTAGGGCATACCCACCAGATATGGTAGTAGGTACCTGGCTTTTGTTTACAATTCCAACAGTTATTCAAAGCATTTGAATAAACATTTTTTAAACATTTTCGCTAGTCTTACTGGTGTCATGTGTCATCTATAAAACATTTTATACAAATTTTCTTTATATGAAGCTGCTTTAGTCAGTTTAATGTTTCTATCTCATAACTTTTGCCAATCTTCTAAATCTATAGAATATCCAAAGTTTTTTGCCCATGTTATCATTGTTTCTTTTCCATCTGTTTTCCATTGTTCTTCTTCCATCTTCAAATTTAGAAGAAATCTGTAAAGTTTCTTAATCAGGTTTTCATCTGTTTTTAAAAGTATTTGATCAAATTCTATCTGTTCTTTATAAAACCCCGTTGTCTTTGCATCTTTTCCATATCTTGTTTGAATTTGTAAATAGGGCCCCCATGCTAAGTCAATACCTTGTTGTTGTAAGTCTTGCCTATCTTTCAATTTTTCTTCGTTGTCCAGAATATGTTTTTAAGTGACGACTTTGTCGTAGTTAATTAAATTTGGGTAAGCGAAAGCTTCCATCGTTGAAAGCCACTCAGGTAGTTTAATACAGATTTTTTGTTTTATTCTTTCCCATTCTAAAAAAAGTACATTCCTTATAGTGTGGTTTTGGAAGTATCTGTGTGTTTTATTTTTCCCGTGCCACAGAAAGGCATGCCAACCAATTTGTAGGTCATGCCCCTCTAGGTACAGTAGTCTTTTGTTTCTCAGTGTTATCCATTCTTTAAGGCATGGTAAAATGGCTGCTTGATAATATAATCTCCAATCCGGGAGTCCAAATCCTCCACTGTGTTTAGCTTCTTGTAACATTTTCTCTTTAATTTGTGCTTTCTTCCCTTGCCAAATACATCTCAATATTGTTGCATTTAGGTCATCAAAAAAGACCTTTCCCAATTTTACAGGAATCGTTTGAAATAAGAAGAGTAATTTTGGCAGGTACATCTGATACATCTTGAGGATGCTCTAGAATAGTATTTTTTCAACTTTGGCAACTTTAAGATTTATAGATTTTAACTCCTAGAATTCCCAGCCTGCATGTTGGTTGGGGAATTCTGTAGTTGGTCCACATATCTTAAAGTTGCCAAAATTGATAAGCGCTATCATAGAATCTCACAGAATCGCATCAAGTATTCACTAGGATCTTGGCATTCTGTCTTATGCAATTAACCAACACAATCAATAATAATAATAATAAAGTTGGAAGGGACCTTGGAGGTCATCGAGTCCAACCCCCTGCTCAGGCAGGAGACCCTACACCATTTTAGACAAATGGCTGTCCAGTCTCTTCTTAAAAACCTCCAGTGTTGGAGCATTCACCGCTTCTGGAGGCAGGCTGTTCCACTGCTTAATTGTTCTAACTGTCAGGAAGTTTCTCCTTAGTTCTAGGTTGCTTCTCTCCTTGATTAGTTTCCATCCGTTGCTTCTTGTCCTGCCTTCAGGCGCTTTGGAAAATAGCTTGACTCCCTCTTCTTTGTGGCAGCCCCTGAGATATTGGAACACTGCTATCATGTCCCCCCTCGTCCTTCTCTTCATTAAACTAGAAATACCCAATTCCAGCAACCGTTCCTTATATGTTTTAGCCTCCATTTTTGTTGCTCTTCTCTGTACTCTTTCTAGAGTCTCAACATCTTTTTTACATCATGGTGACCAAAACTCGATGCAGTATTCCAAGTGTGGCCTTTCCAAGACATTGTAAAGTGGTATTAATGCTTCACGTGATCTTGATTCTATCCCTCTGTTAATGCAGCCCAGCTGCATTAACAGTCTAAACTAGATTAGGCACTGGCTGCTGTGTAAGAGGTTTAAGCTCAATTTATATCTTAAATATATATTTGTACCTAATCTGTTTAAAATTAAAATAACCAACTCCAGGAGATTGTAATAATGATGGGGGGAGAACTCTTTTGGACTGGAAAGGCTGGGACTGCAGGGATGGGTTTGGCGATTTGAAATCAGCAGAAGCCTTTCTTAGAAGGTAGATTTCTGAACATATGCATAATGTGGAGAGAATACCAAGATTGTAAAACAAATCAAATGCTCATAATGTAGTTGTCCTGAATACAGAGCATGGGTTTAGCCCAATTATCAGTGAATGCTGGAAGAATTCATTCTGTTTGAATTAAAATTAGATTTATTAAGAAAAGTGTCACTTCTACCTAATCTAGGGCTTGAAAAGAGGGAAGCATAAAAAAAAGAGAGAGTGGAACAAGATTTTCTCTTTATTTGTTAAGTATAACATTTAACTAACAACAGGTCAGCAAAATCGGGGGGGGGAGACCCTTCCCCTCACCTGTCCCTTGTCATTTCCCCTAGTTGTCAAAACAGCTCACTGGTGAAAAGAAATGATAAAATCTTCAACAATTGATTTCTGTAGCATCATGTTAGTTTGAAAAATTACACAGAAATAGCTTACACGAGTTTCTGAATTTAATTCTAAAAGGAGAAGTCACTCAGTATTAAAGGGATGGAAAACTGAAAATTGACAAAGTTGCAGAGAGAATTAATTAGGAGCATGGAAAGGCTATTTGTTGACAGGGAATTTAGATTTAAATGTTTAAAAAGTATTTAAATATATTAAAGTTACATTTCCCTTGTGACTTCAAGAATTTTATTTTGCTTTATTTTGTCCTGTCCTATACTTTGCTATCTTTTTTCTTCTACGTCAGTGATGGCGAACCTTTTAGAGACCGAGTGCCCAAAAACCACCCCCGCCCCCACTCTGCCTCCCGCCCTGCCTGCTCTGCCCCCGCCCACCCCCTGCCCCACCAGCCCGCAGGGCCACACACTGCCTCCATGTCACACCACAGCAGATCACCCAGGCAGCCCTGAAGCACCATGGCAGCCATGCCCTCTTCCCACACCCCACAGCATCATCTGCATGCTATGGGGTGCGAGGGCGGAGTCTTGTCCCTGTTGCCCGGCTATGTCCTTGGCTGTGCTGCTCCGTGCGGGCTGCGCCCGGGGGTGACTCTCCTCTAGGGGGGCTGCTGTTGAGGAGGGGGACAGGGGGGGAGGTGGGGCTGGGGCGATGGCACGTGTGCCCACAGAGAGGGCTCTGAGTGCCGCCTCTAGCACGCGTGCCATAGGTTCGCCACCACTGTTCTAGGTGCACAGTAGATATTCGACATGCAAAGTATATGTGAGCTTTCCTAAATATATATTTGTATCTAATCTGTTTAAAATTAAAATAACCAATTCCAGGAGATTGTAATAATGATACACAGGGGAAAAAACCTTATGCCTTTTTTTCCTTGTTCTAGTTCTGTTGATAATTAGGTTTAGGAAAGTTCCCCTTTGTATCAAGCATAAATTTCTCTTTGGTGCTGAAAGGGCTGGAACTGCAGGGATGGGTTAGGCAATCTGAAATTACCAAAGATGGAGGGGAGGTTCCATTCCAAATTTATAACAAGGATGTACTTGCAAATCGCTTGCATTTGATACACAAAGTGAAACACACATGTGCCAAAAGTACATCATGTAAGCAATATGTAAGAAGTACAGAGACAAAGAAAAAGTACCTGTTAGACCTTTATTTAGCAGCATCTCATCCCATTGTGTTTGATTGAGTATTACTGCCTATAGTAAAAACATACAGAAAACATTATTTCCTCAATTTGTTTGCTTATCTAAAGAACGGTTGCGTAATTGAACTAACAGAACAACAAGATACCTGTAGTTGAATTTCTTTCTTCTTACTTGCCATTGTTTTTTCTCTGTTATGGTAGAAATAAAGCAAATTGAAATTATTGGGAAATATACTATTATTATGCTTTAATGTTGGGTTCTATCTAAACCACTCTGCTTCTACTATGAATTTGTACCAGGTTAACAAAGATCTTACAATAATAACATGAAAATAAGTGAAGGAGGCGGGAACACGTATTCATACAAACACAATATTATCTCTGCCCTATCCATAGAAATTCTCACATTTATGTACTTCACAGCCATGTATCATGACACAATCACAGTACAAGTATCTTTCTTTCATTATACCTCCTTATTAATTAATCCAAGATAGCTCCTTCCAGAAGGCAAAACTGTTGGCAGGAGGGAACATGAGCAGGAGTGGGCAGGCTTTTCCTGCTGTTGCTATGGTCACCAAAGAACATCTAGATAGATCCCAACTGTAAAAAATATGTAGGTGAAGATATACACAGGCAGAATGGATCTCAAGCCAGATATCCTGGGTTCAGGGTTTTGGAAATGATGGACTTCTGGCAAGCTAGTGACTGAAAAGGATTAAAACTCAGGGAAAATATAATGGTTGAAAAAACTCAACCTTGAATGCCTCGCCTTCTTTCTGTGAGATTGAAGAAAGGAAAACAAGGCTATTATAATCATTTGCATCTTGAAAGAAAATACAACAGTTGTCAAAGTACAGGTAGTCCTCGACTTGTGACTACAATTGGGACCAGAATTTTTGTTGCTAAACAAAGCAATTGTTAAATGAGTCATGTCCAATTTTATGATATTTTTGGTTATTAAGCAAATCACTGCAGTTAAATTAATCACATGATCATTAAATGAATTCAGATTCCCCCATTGAATTTGTGTCAGACACCCATTGGGCTGGTAACAAATGGGGATCATATCACCCTGGGACACCACAACTGTCATCAATATATGCCAGGTGATCAAGTGCAAGTATTGGTTGTAAGTCACTTTTTTAGTGTCCTTGTAACTTCAAACAGTCACTAAATGAATGGCTGTTAGTTGAGGACTACCTGTATTAGGAGTTATGGCACCTGCTGGGCTGTGCGTGTTGCTGGAGGACCACATGAGGGAGATAAATGCATCACCAACAGTAGAGTTGGCTTGCCCATTTGGGTCATAACCCTGCTCACTACTGGCTAACAATCCCACCTTTCCTAGGAATTTGGGGGATTGTCACCCTAACCCAGTGATGGCAAACCTTTTAGAGACCAAGTGCCCAAACTGCAACCCAAAACCCACTTATTTATCGCTGGGTGCCAGGTGGGCATGGCCCACTGGATGGGCATGGCTGTGGTGGTCATGGCAGATTGGGTGGGTGTGGCCAAGGTGGGTGTGATCACCTCAATGTTGCTCATGGGGAGGGATGCCTGTGGGGGCTGGGCAGGGTTGGGGGAGATCCAGGGGGTCTCTGGTAGGTGGGGTGGGGGGCAGGAGGCTCATCCTGTGGGGAGAGGCGAGGCAAGGTGAGGCAGGACAGGGGTGCCATTGTCAAAGGGCAAGATGAGGCAGGGGCCAAAGTGGCTGCTGCCTGACATCATCGGCCCCTGCACACAGAGGCCAGCGAGCGCATGGGTACTGGGATGCATCCAGCCATGTGGGACCTTGGCGAGTTAGCGGGCAGCTGGTTGAAGAGGGACGGTTGCCATCTCCGGGGCATGGCGCGCGTGCCCACAGAGAGGGCTCTGAGTGCCACCTCTGGCACGCATGCCATAGGTTCGCCACCACTGCCCTAACCCATTTGGAAAGCACCAGGTTGGGAAAGGGTACTTTTCCTTTTCTTTGTATACATAAAAGGAATTATATTTCATTTATATTCATTTATACATTTATGGGCCTCTGTGCCACCCATCTGAGATAGTCTAAGTAAGACTAGTAAGACCACACCTGAAATACTGCAGCCAATTTTGATCACCATATCACAAAAAAGATGTTGAGAGTTTGGAAAAAATTCAGAGAAGAGCAACTAAGATGATCAAAAGACCGGAGACTAAAACATACGAAGAACGGCTGCAGGACTTGGGCTTGCCTAGTCTAAAGAAAAGAAGAAATAGGGGAGACATGATAGCAGTATTCCAGTATTTGAGGGGTTGCCACAAAGAAGAGGGGGGTCACGTTATTCACCAAAGCACCAGAGGGCAGGACAAGAAACAATGGTTGGAAACTGATCAAAGAGAGAAGAAACCTGGAATTAAGGAGAAACTTTCTGATAATGAGGACAATTAACCAATGTAACAGCTTGCCTCCAGAAATGTGGGCACTCCATCACTGTAGATTTTTGTCTGAGATGTTATAGGTTCTCCTGCATGAGCAGGGGGCTGGACTAGAAAACCTCCAAGGTTCTATTCTATTCTATTCTATTCTATTCTATTCTATTCTATTCTATTCTATTCTATTCTATTCATAAAAAGAAACATTTGCTTTAAATTCTAAATATTCAGTAAGGTTCATCTAAGGTCCATTCTCAATGACTGTATGACCTAAATAAATGTTTAAGCATGCTTGGATTTCACATTGGCATGTCCAATGATGCCTTGCTCTCAACTGTGTGGATTTCAGTTTCCACAATTCTCAGCAATGGTCCCAGGTAAAGGTAAAGGTTTCCCTTGTCCAGTCATATCTAACTTTAAAGGGTGGTGCTCATCTCCATTTCTTAGCTGAGGGAGTCAGAGTTATCCGAAGACACTTTCCATGGTCATGTGGCCAGCATGAGGTGCATGTAATGCTATTACCTCCCCACTGATGTGGTAACTATTTATTTTCTTGCATTTGCATGCTTTTTAAATGGGCAGGAGCTGGAGCAAGTAATGGGAGCTCACCCCGTTGTGCAGTGCTCAGATCTTGAACCTGGGCTTTCCAGTTGACAAGCTCACCATCTTTAATCCCTGAGCCAGCGCACCCGTGTTTTATTCTAAAAAATTAAATCCTGATATCTGAAAGATACTCAGGTTAGGAAATATTGCTCGGTGGAACAAGACAATTAATTGGCTAATGGACAAAGTTATTCTTTTTTATTTTTTTACCAGGCACTTCACAGACCGTTCCTACTTCTCCAGTTTTTGCAATCCTAAGCAGATCCAGAATGTTTATTTAGTCTCTACCTATTTTGAGCCATAACTGGCTACTAATCTGTATTCATCTTGATACATCACAAATTATATATACTGATTTATATAATACATTCTGATTCCAGTGTTGCTCTCTTTGTTTTTTGTTATCTATGTTAGAGCAAAAATAAGATTGGTTATTGGTCACTGATATTGTCTCTAAAGACCTAGAATGGAAAGTGGAAAGAAAACCATTTTTTCTGAAGACTTTTTTTTTTAGAAGTTTTTTGTTTTCTGATTTCTTGGTTTTGTCTTGGTCAATCTTTAGGTTCTTTTTTCATTTCTTCCTTCCTGGTTATTTAAGTTACTTACAAAACAACTTTGATTCCGAATGTCAAACTGTTCCCCCAAAATAATTTTTATTTTATCTTTTTGCTCAGAAGGATGGCTTTAGAGATAGATTTTATAGAATGAAGGACATTTTGCCTATAAAAATGTGCTCAACGTATTGGAAGAAAAAATGTTGCCTTGGTGATGATGTGATAACCTTAGGAAAGAGCACAACTATTGTATGAACAAGAGCCTAGAGAGCAATCTAAATCAAATCATCTGCAAGATTCATTTCATGACATTTATGTTAGCAGAGACAGCAAGACTATGTGATTTAGAACTATAAAGACTGGCTTTTCTTCTGAATGATCACATCCAATCTCTCAGCAGAGGGCTTTCTCTTGCCTTCCTCTCAAATAACTTACCTTAGGAGTTTTGCCCAGCCTCCATTTCCTCCAGGTGTAGAAAAAGAATTAAGACGTCCTTCTTGAACTATTGTCTGCTTTTTTTTTCCTCCCAGAGGATATTCCAAATATATTGCACTTGTGTGATTTCTTGGTTTTTGCCTTGTTTTTACTTCTTGCAAACCAGATACAGTATTCCTGAGAAAGACTTTCAGGACACTGAGAAAGGGTTATTTTGGAGGAATGAGAAAGTAAGATGAGATTTCTGGCAAAGAAAAAGCAGCCATCAAATGCTGCAATCTGGGGGGGGTGTGTATGTGTATCAATACCTGAGTTCTCTCATCAGAAAGACCCCCATTTGAAAGGTTGGTCTAGGACTATAGAGGATTTGGCTTAAGCTTGTGCTGGCATGGATTCTGAATAGTTTCTGCTTGTGATAATATAAAGGCTGACTAGATTTTTCATCCCCTCTAACAAGAATATTTACTCTCCCACAGGCTACCATGTGAGGAAAAATTATGCATTGTAAAGATTACTTGGAGGTGGGAGATACTTCCAATGTAATCTATGAATTCCCTGCATGGATTACTCCTGTGACTATGTAGGACAGACAGGGAGGAAGCTAACCACCAGATTGCAAGAACACAAGCAAGTGGTCAGAGAAGACCCGAACTCATAGCCTCACATTGCAAAGAAACTACAAAATAACAAGGGCAGCTACTTATAAAGAAAATTTATATAAAATGTTCTATAGATGGCATTTACTACCTGCAAGACTAGCAAAAATGTTTAAAAGTATGTCTAGCAATTGTTGGAACTGCAGACAAAATCCAGGCACGTATTATCATCTTTGGTGGACATGCCCTAAAGCAAAGAACTATTGGTCAAAAATACATAGGTGGCTAGAAAAGACGATAGGAGCACATGTAGACTATAAACCAGAATTATTTCTTTTAGATATAACCTCAGAAAATTATGATTAAAATGTGTATACTTAATATTACATATATTAAAAGCAGCGAGAATTGCATTTGCTCAATACTGGAAAATGAAGAAATACCATCTGAAGAAGACATAATTAAGAAAAAATTTAGACTGCAGATATGGATAAGCTCATGTTGAAAATGAAGGGGAAGCAAGATTCAGAATACTTTCAAACATGGGAAAATTTTTATAAATGGTTAGGAAAACGGAATAAAGGGTAGGAA